GATTCCTCGCATACCGGGCAGCAAAAATGGCGGCCATATGGAGGATTTTCGCTTAAAGGTGAGTTTTAACCCCATAGGAACGCATTAAACGGGGTTTAATGCATTCCTGTGGGCTTTTTCTTTTCCCATAGCGACGAATCCAGATAGCGACGATTTTTCCGGAACGAATTATTGTTGCTATGCGGGGCAACACTGTACTAGAGGACTTCCCAAACTTGAGAGTAGGAGGACTGTTGCCAGACCCACCAAAGAAAAGATGAGAGGAATCTTGATCCCTTAGAATGGACAATTGTGGTTTTCCTGCAGGGACAAGGTCCCTCGAAGAAGGTGATCAAGCCCAGAGTTATTCACAACAGTCCTTGCCCGGAGAGGGATTGGGCACAGCACCCCTGCTATGGAACTATCTGCGCAGTCCAGAGTGCTCCTCTGAGGAAGCCCAGTGACAGACAACGGTTTGGGCCAGTCCCACAATAAACCAAGGAGGACTAAATCAAGAGTTAACGTTCTCAAAAAGTGAGCAGTTACAAGATGTTAATTTGTTTGAACCTATAGATATAGTTGTTGATTCTCCTAATCTTAATACCAATAAAAAGTTAAATGTTCATGAAGAGACTGCTGTCATTTCCTGCCAAAAAAGAGGAACAGCTGCAGATATTTAACAAACCCAATCACACCTAGTCACTTTGCGCTCTCTCTTTTTTCAGCTGAAACATTTATAGTCCTGAGAATGCTAAACGGGGTTTCCTTAGCTACCAAATTCCACGCAGAATGCATAAAATTCTGGAGCTACTCACTGGGTGCAGATAGACTGAATCATACTTTTCTGATAAAGATTTCAGCTCAGCCTCACTCATCGTTTCAGTTGATTTCATCAGTGTGAGAAACTCCTGACTGTGAAAAAAAAATACAATATGTATCAGAAAAGCTAGACCATCAGATATACCTTGATTTCTGCCTCTCTCTCAAAATATATGGCCCAGTCCTCACCCAAATCCAAGCCCTGCTTTCACCTGTGAGCCAACAGGATCTCTTCCTCAGAAGCTTCTCGGGTCTATAGGGAGAGAAAAGAATGTGAATAGCTGCAGAAGGAAATCAAAATTGATTGATTGAGTGAGTGATTGATTGATTGATTGATTCGATTTTTACCCCGCCCCTCTAGACAACATCTACTCGGGGCGGCTTACATAAATTCTTAACCCCACATTATTATTAAATGTTATTTATCACCATCATAGAGCAACATAAATCGTCCCTTTCTCTACCTATTTTATCCTAAAAATGCTGTGAAGTAGGGCACCTTTTAAGCAAAGAGAGAGAGAGAGAGAGAGTCTGACTGAATGAGGGAGCTGTCTAAACTAAGTTCTCCTCAGTGAGAAGTCAATACTCCCTAGTCTTAACCCAACAACACGACGCCACATTGGCTCTTGATGGCAAAGTTCACCATCATAGAGCAACATAAATCGTCCCTTTCTCTACCTATTTTATCCTAAAAATGCTGTGAAGTAGGGCACCTTTTAAACAAAGAGAGAGAGAGAGAGAGAGAGAGAGAGAGAGAGAGTGTCTGACTGAATGAGGGAGCTGTCTAAACCAAGTTCTCCTCAGTGAGAAGTCAATACTCCCTAGTCTTAACCCAACAACACGACACCACATTGGCTCTTGATGGCAAAGTTTAGAATTAATGGCTAGAAACCCTACTGTGGATTTACAAATAAATAAATGCATGCATAAACTGATACTAGTGTTAAGTATAATGGCATAAATCATGGCAGTGAATTGCCACTAATTAATGAGTTGCTGCTTGCATTCCCAGTTGTGGGCCATGGCATGGCTTGGCACACAACTAGGAATCTGAATGGCAATATGTTAATTAGTGACAATTCACTGCTGTAATTTAAGGCATTAAACATATGCTGGTATAAATCCACAACAGAAGTTTAGCCTATGCGCTAAAATTCATATTACTTTTTTTTGTACTATAGCAACATTTTTTTCCATTTAACTTTGAAGGAATCCAGACCTGGGTTTTTATTGTATCACTCTTCTGCAATATTCCGAAAGGATTTATTCCAGCCAGCTTTAGTTCCTGCATCCAAACGTGCATAAACTTCACATCTCAATCATCCCTCTTCCTTTTACAGTTCTTTCATCTGCAATCCACATATGACTGCTACCTGCTATTTCTTGCAGAGAAGCTATGCCTTGAAGGACTTTTTGGTCTTATTTTACAGGTGGTTAAGCAAGAACAACTGGAGAAAACTATAGTGAGAAAGGAGGGAGTCTGATGATTAACAACCATCCTTCTCACTGCCCAAACATGAAACATAGCAGTAGGGAAATTCACAAGGGAAAAGGATACTTTAAAAATCCAAAAGCAATGCCACATAAAGGATTTTCTCAGGAGTCTATGAACACAGAAACTGTGCTTATTAGTGGTAAATAAAGTGGAAAGGAGTACACATCTTTTGAACGACTTAATAACTCACACAAGCCTCTGTACAAGCAAACCTCCTAGATTGTGATACAACACTTATATGGATTCCTCCAGTGACACTACCTCATTGAGGTTTGGGTATAATCAATAAAACACATTATTTCAAAAGCATTTTTAATAGACATTTGGTGCCATTCAATTAAAAAAAACACAATGTTTTGTGTTTTTACAATATTCACAACACACACACCCAAAAAAACAACTAACACCAATATGTTTGTTTATTTATTATTTATTACTTTAATTTATATACCAACCCCATTAGTGCCAAAGCACTACTGTTAAACATTTCTATCTAATGTGTTCGACATTTTTTAAAAAATACCAATGAACAGTTAAAGTGTTGGCCATTTTCATTCATGTTCCCAAGCTCTGCTCAACTGCCAGAACCCTCCTGGCCACAAAGCCTCCGTCCATCTGTGTGTTTGCAGTGAGCCTTTGGGAACACAAACACACACACACACACCCGCTCACCGCCACTGGGATGCAGCGCTCCAGGAGTCCACACTGCAGCAGTTTCTCATGTATGGCCATCAGTCGCTCTGGGCATTCTGGAAAGCTGGAGAAAAGGGAATCCGTGGGTATGTGGTGGGGACGGAAACAGATCAAAAGCACATTCATCTGGAGGAGGGGGTAAGGAGGTTGAGATGGTTTTCGGGAAACCAATGAACAGAGGAAGGGGAGCAATTCCCATCCTGAGGACCAGACAACATTCATCCCAAGCAAAATACACATGGACACAACCAACACTGCTTCAACCAAGGCAGGATCTGAGAGTCTGATTAGAGGCAGGTTGGTAATCTTTACAGGGACCCCACTCCTTTAATCTGACAGATTCAAGATTACAAGAAAACAAGTAGGTTCAGGTGAGAAGACAGGGAAGATAGCTGCAATGGGAACAGAATGGACTTTTAAAACACACATCAAAACTGCTACGATCGTGGACCAAGAAACAGGATATAAACAGGAGGGGATGCAGGAAGAACTGGAATTGAATGGAGAGGAACTGCAAGTCTTAGTCAGTGCCTGCCCTACCATTTGGCAGAGAGAAGCAGGTGCTCCAGGGGGCAACTGCAGGGCAGTGGCAGCTTCCTGAGTGTTTTTACCAGACTTTCCCCATTTGTTCTCCCTGTCTGACTACAATGATTTGTGTGTCAAAGAAAAGGCCTTAGACCACTTCCTCCAAAAGCAAGCCTGTCATTTATTTATTTGGGGGGGGGGGCGCCTATTCTACCACAAGTGACAGAAATGTTGCTCTTGTACTGAATTATATTCTCACTTTTGCTAGGTGTGGATATAAAGAAGTTTTTGCCTTTTGGTATGATATATTTTTCTCTAGACAAATCTATTTTCCTTTGTATTTTAATAAATTTACTTCCTTTGAAACACTGGGTGTCCTGGTCATCCCATACAACTTAACTGGATACCTGTACTTCGCCAATCTTATAGCACATGGTCAGGTTTTGCCCAAGATTCAAGGGAACAGTGAAATGTGTTGCCACCTCATCCCCTTCAACTCTAGTGGATGCTTGGTGAGGTCTGGAAGTTCCCTGACCCAGATGCACTTGACAGAAAGGTTGGCAATAAATAGATCCACGCCGCAGCTGCCTCTCTCTGCTGAGGCACAGAACTATGCTGTGCAGGCCTGGAATCTCCTGAGCTGACATGTAGAGAATGGAGCTATGGCCTCATGTGCTGGGTGGGAATATGTTCAAACTGTTGAGAATCATATCTGACCTTGGCCACCCAGCTTCAGCTTTGGTTATTCTTTTCTTGCCCCTCACCCACAGCTGGAATAGGGCTCCAGGTGCCACTCCCAAATGGTGTCCAATTTGGTGTTGGTAGTGGTGGCCATGAACAAAATTCAGTGGCAGGGCCATTCTGTGTACTTTTTCCTCACGAAGTTAAGTTCTGCTATGATCAAAAGGGGTTACTTCCAGGCAAGGATAGATCTAGACCTAGACCTAAAGCTGAAATGTATAAAAACTGCAAGCATTTCTCAACATTTCAGAAGCACTGCAATAGATCTATGAAGGCTGTTTCAGAAGGAGGACATTTCCAAAGGAGCAGAAGGCAAGGAAACAGGGGGAGGGCGGCAGCGTATGTCTCGATATCCAGATCGGTAGGAGGATTCAAAACAAGGAAGAGAAAAGGGATAGTCATCACCGAAAGAAAGATGTATGGTGGGATTGTGTGGAGACTACACTGGAAGAGTGAGCCAAGTGGGATAAATTGAAACAAAACAACAACCATAGATTTACAGGCAGTACAAAGGGGTGTAAGATCAGGATTATATATTTACCCACATCCAAACCAAGGGTACTTTTCCCCCTCTGCCAGGAAAAAAATAATCAATGGTTTTGGGATTAGGAAACATACAACAGACCTTTATGCTACCTACAGCAGAGTGCATAATGGGAAACGACGTTCAGCAGGGCCTATGGATTACGATTAGCACGTGCATCTTCCAAACAATGACTCCCCCCACTTCCCCATTTCATTCTCTTTACAGCGTTCAAACACTGAGAGAAGCAATTGCAGCAAGGAGCCAACAGAGATGGGCCTAAAAACTGGAGAGGACAGTGTCAGAGAGCCATCACAAGCTTAGCACCTCAAGCATGCAACTGTCCATCCACGACTGAGGTTCTCCTGTTGGACAGGATTGCTTGGTACACATCTTCAGTGTAAGACAACAACTCAATGAGATGATTAGACCATACTTGTTGTCATCACCGATCTACTTTCCCCAATGGCAGTTTTTTAACTTAAAAAAAAAAGCCTCAACTCAAACAAGGGGCCATATGGATTTTTAAAAACAAATATACAAGCAACCTTTTGACTCCATCTTAAGCACAAGATGTATTAGTGCACATCATAGCATTTGAAAGGACCTCAAAGAACATTAGAACCTCGCTTGCTGAGGCTTGTAATCCTTTACAGGAATCTCTACTATGAGCGAGTCCTGCAGATTTCAGTGGGCACTGTTCCCAGGTAAGCGCAGGCAGGACTTTAAGCCAGTGTGTGAACAGAACACAAGAATATATTTCATTCAATGGGGGCAGGGGAGGATCGCCCAAACATAAAAAGCCTAAATCGTTTCCAGTGTCAACGGGGCACTCTATCCAAACGTCAAGCCAGCTCAGCAGTACCTCTCATCCCATGTGCAATGAAACCGTGTCATCCGCTCATCCCAAATCAGGCCTGTTCCCACTGGTGCTGTGCATTCGGTGGTAAGGTCCTGGTTAGGAAGAACAAACATGAACAGGAGGTGTTAAGCAGGAAAAGAATCTGTTTTAGCCCAAACCTTCCTCCTCTAACATTGGCTTCATTGTCTTCCACAGAGGACCATATTTATTTCCCCAACAAATAATTGGGGAACAATCCTATACACGAACATGTCCTCTGAGTGTTAATGTGCAGCCAAAAAGCATAGTTCATCAGCAGGATTAGACCGGTGCCAAGACTTGCTGAATAACAGAGAAACTATGAGGTGGAGGGGAGGGACCACCAAAGTACAAGAGGCATGGAAAAGATCCCCAAACCATCAAGTGAAGATTGAAAGTATCAGTGGCCATAAAATGTTGACTGATTGGACACAAAGCCATAAGGAGGGGAGAACGGCATATCCTGAGACAGGGCATAGCTGCTGGCTTGTGGGCTGTAATTCTGAAGAGAAGCACTCCATGTGACAGTATTTTCTTTTGAAGTTCCGTTACACAAAGGCATTTCTCTACACTTATACTGTGTACATATGGATTCTCTTTTCATCTTAAAGGTAAAGGTAAAGGTTCCCCTTGACAATTTTTGTCCAGTCGTGTTCGACTCTAGGGGGCGGTGCTCATCCCCGTTTCCAAGCCATAGAGCCAGCGTTTGTCCGAAGACAATCTTTCCGTGGTCACATGGCCAGTGCAACTTAGACACGGAATGCTGTTACCTTCCCACCGAGGTGGTCCCTGTTTATCTACTTGCATTTGCATGCTTTCGAACTGCTAGGTTGGCGGGAGCTGGGACAAGCGACGGGAGCTCACTCCGTCACGTGGATTCGATCTTATGACTGCTTGGTCTTCTGACCCTGCAGCACAGAGGCTCCTGCGGTTTAGCCCGCAGCGCCACCACGTCCCCTCTTTTCATCTTAACTGAGCAAAAATGGTTTCCAACACCTACCTTGACAATGCCATCCCCCAATTGGCTGGAGGCTTTTGAAAGTGCCACATATATTCCTACTCTCCTACCATTAATAAAACCTACTTGCCATTAGAAATATTACATTTTCAGACTATACTTACTAAGCGTGTGATCAGATGGCTGCAAAAGCAGCCATCTGATCACACTGGAAAGGGTTGCTTTAAGGGGAATGATCACCCATAAAGTGACCCTTCCACCCTACCCATCCCCCAAAAGTAGAAGCTCTCCAGCTGGACCCAAAAGGTTCAGCTTGGACATGGATTGCAGCCATGTTGGAACACAATGCCCTGTGTTTCATCTGATCACTGGGAAATAGATCACACCAGATCACTCCACAAGAGGTCCAAAATGTGATCTATTTGCCTGTGTGATCACACCATGACTATTTAGTCAGGCTGACCAGGGGAATAGCACAAAGTGTTTGGCAGTGTGTGCAGGCCAAAAAGGAACTTTTCTAGCCTTGGCATTCCACTCACCTCCACTTGAAAACAAAGAGGTGTTCACATCCACCTTTCCCTCTCTTATGCCCCAATGAAAAGCCTGCCACTGCTTTCCCAGACCAGAGTCTAAGCGTTCCGGCTTTCAGCTCACCAAACGCTGCATGCCCGAGAGCAGTTCCTCTGCATCTTTGTTCAGCCGCTTGGCCCGTCCTTTCCGCTTGGCCTCTGGCAATCCACCTTTTCTGTTAGCTTTTTTCTGCAGAAGACAAGGAAGAGCAGAGAATGTCCACTCTATACAAGTCCAGCCAACAGAGACACCAATCCTTTTCTTCCTTCTGTGGGCTAGGGAGGACAAGGGAGTCTTTCATCCACCCTGCTTTACAAGGACCTAAGTACAGTCCTTCACTCTTGCTACTACAATAATGGATTACATTACCAGTGGTGCCTGAGTCTTCAGAGACAGCAAAGACGGAAGATCTAAAACAGCGGCATCTCCTAAATCTGAAGCCATTATGGGGGCACCGGTTGCCCCCTTCCCCAACTCCAGTTCTGCAGAACAGTAGGACAAAAATATCTCATGTTATCACAAGATTCTGAAGCTGACAAAGATGTTCAATTTGTATGAAGCTCGTATAAAAATCAGGACAAGGTTTGTATAGTGGAAACAATACAAATGAAGGAACAGGTGGTACCTTTAATTAACCATGAAGAATAAAAAAACAAATAAACAGTGAACTTTCAATGATAAATCATCTTCTTCAAGGCTGTGCATCAAGTTCTTATGGGTAGTTCCAAATTTATATGTTGTTATTAATGTGAATTTGGGAGATTAAAAATAGCATATAAGGTTGGAGCTACCGACAAGAACTTGATGCACAGCCTTGAAGAAGATGACTTATCGTTGAAAGGCTGCTGTTTGTTTTTTGTTTTATATTCTTAATGATCAATTAAAGCTATCAACTGCTCCTGCATTTGCATTGTATGAAGCTGACATTTTAAATTCAAACACTCAACTGCCCTCATATCAGGGACAACTGATAGAGAAATGGGGATCCAGGTTTAAGTCCTCACCCTACCATGGAATTCACTGGGTAACCTTTGACCCTTGTCTTATCTACCCCACGGTGTTGCTGTGAAGAGGAGGAGAGCCATGCATGCTTCCTTGGGATCACGGAAGGAAAGAGGGTGACACTGCAAACAATTAAAACACAAAATAAAAAGAGACTGCATGTGCTAAGAGAGTATCAAGAACACATTCGTGATCTCTCTCTCCCAGACAGAAATAACCCAGTCTCAGTTTTAAGATTATCATGGCATCAAGGCCCGAAGGAGAGGAATTTCTTTCATGGAATTTGTCTGTCATTTCTTATTATCTGAGGCCTCTTTAACGGCACTTATTAAGGTAAGTGTCAGGATAGAAAATGCCTTAGAGTTTTAGTTAATAAAGGAAATAATGCAATAGGACTGATTGGAGGGAGGCACATCCCACAAAGAAATTAGGATGCTACCGAATACTGTATGAACAGAGCCAAGGGGGAGAAGAGAATGAAGGAATACTGCTGACAGTTATTAATCAGAAGGAAATGCACGCATATCCATTCATAAGGTACTGTAGATAAAAGAGCCCAATTGCCAAATCCAGGAATCATTATTTGAAAGAATACCCTGTGACCAAACTAACTCCCACCAGGCACTTGAAGCAGTTTATAACATTAGGAAAAACCCTAATTTGGCATAAATTAACATATATTAATTTGCTTCAGTACACATATGTAAAATCAACAGCTAATACAAGCAGCAGGAAATTGAAACCCAGAATTTTAAACAGGAAAGCTTCTGAATCTTGTTAATGTTTGAACAAAATCAGCCAGGGAAAACTCTTTGGGAAGTAATTCCAGGGATGGAGAGCCACAGCAGATGACGCCCTGCAGAGCAAGTACGGCACAGAGAGCAGCAAGCCACAACCTTCATCCCTTAACATGCTGGCTTTTCAATTTTCGTTGTACAATCTGAATGATACAATTTGACACAGACAGCAATGCTATATGGTCTTAGGATCAGGAGCAAACTTAATTGGAAACTATGAGACTTATTTCTTAATCGAAATGGGTAGAAGGCACTACAAATACAATGCAGCACCTTTTCTGACAATCACATGACATAGATTCAGATTTTTTGAAAAATTAAAAACCACAACTCCTAAGTACCCGGGGTCTGCGGAAGGAAACAGCAGACAAAGGACACCAAATATGCATCCAGAATCATAACTGTTACGAGGGCTAGAAGTCTGAACTGCAATCCAGTTCCTGACCCAGCTATAATGAACATTCCAAATCTCAGAACAAACAGATTTAGTGCAACAGATTTTTTTTTTTACACATGCACACCAACAGACAAAAGAAAGACTCTAAATGTGTTTCGAGTGGCAGGTTTAATCGGACAGAGCCTCTTACCAACATTTAGCAGTGGTTCTATGAAAGCCGTGGTTTTCCTTCCACTACCAGCTTCCTCTAGCTTGGATATTCACACTTATCCTCCCTTGCAATAGCCAAAAGCATTGCATTTATTGCCTGCTGCCAATTTTTGCCTTCTCTACCCATTCATCTCCCCTTTTCACCAACCAGTAACGCAGGCTGCAATCCTCTGCCGCCCTCGCCCACCTATTGCCCAGACCTGAAGATCCCATTGCAGTCCCCACCGAGCTCAAGTTCAAAGGCACCCAAGCCAGAAGCGACAGATCCCCCCCACCCCAAGGCTTGAAGACGCAGCTGAACACGCTTCACTCACCCCTTCCAGCACCAGCTGCGGATTATCTGCCAAAGGAAGGCGGGATGGAAACGGAGGGAGAGCAAGGGACCCCGGAGGCTGCTGCTGCTGCTGCTGCTACGGGTCAATCAGTCATCCGGGGTGCAAACCGCACCCTTTCTTCTCCCCTTCCCCCCTCCAGCTACATATGGGGGCGTGTCTCCTGGCCTTACCTGAAACCCGGACTTACCCAACGGCTTCCCCCTCCGACTCTCAGACCCTTGGTCTCTCCCAGGGCGCGGCCTGATGCTGTCACCCCTCACCGCGGTTGCTCCCAGATGGAAACCATTGGCCGCACCCGGAAGAAAGTGGGCGGGATCATCCCGTGCAGGGGCGGAGTCGGCGGGGCCTGACTCTTGGGCGAGGCTTTCCTAGGGAGACGGACAGAAAGCGGTCAGTGTGGAAAAGAAGGAGGAGGACTTGGGCGAGACCATTTACCCTTACGGGGAGGAGGAATGCATTTCCAGGAGGTGCTTCTGATCCGCAAGCATTTATTCTCGGTGTGTCGGATTTGCTGAAATTAGAAACATAGATTCCAGCTTGTTTCAACCCGTCTCTTCAAATTACAGTACAACTCATGCGGAACTGCATAAATCTTTTGAGAATAGAGCAGAGCTTTGGAGACTCGCCTGTTGGGGAGAGGGAAATGGAAAAACAATGAGTTAGGATAGTAGGTGTCTTGATTTGATGATGCGGCGGTGATCATCAGGGACAGCTTGCTCCAAAGACCTTGGGGTGGTGGTGGTTAGTAGCAGCCTTTCCATTTTAATTTCCCACAGTAATGCTATACTTAGGCATTGTGGGAAATTAAAATCACACTCAAATTGGCGCTAATGTTTACAAGCTGTGGCAGCTGCTGTCTTTCTCATAAAGGAGGCATGCTGATTTTCTATGGGAGTGCTGGTAACAGTCCGGTGCTGGAGCTAAAAGGGGGGGCCCTCTGACTTTACTTCTGGTTAGCCTGAAGCCACGACTCATTATGAGTACGTGTTTGAACTCTGCCACCCTTCTGCCACCCTTTGCCTAAAAGTACTCATACGGTTGAGGTACAAGCCCTTCCACTACAGACTTGAGACCTTACCCGTGCCCTCATATTGGCCCAGGGCCGGGAAAATAAATTTTTACAGACTCCCATTGTGCTTTTAGGATGTTGCCTGCTTGGGGGGAATTTTGGAGAAATAGGGACTTCAGGACAGTAGAAGAAGAAGAAAGACAGCTATGTTGGCGGTGATGCAGGTGCAGAGTTTTGGGAAGGAAGAGGATTTGAAGATAGGAGAAAGGAATAGGTTAGGTTAGTAGATAAGATATAGGAAGCAGAATTGCCGGGAACGTTCAGCCCCCCCCCTTGCTTCTCCAGATGCACAAAGTGGAAGCTGGAGAGACAAGGGGGTTGATTTCACACCAGGGATGACCTGCTTGTGTTACCAGGATTGTTAGCTAGGCACTTTCTGTGGGAATTCCTTAGACATACATGTGCTTACTCTGACACTGAAATGTTTATGAAAAGGAACTACTTTCAAGACTGACAAAGGAGATTTCAAAAGGCGGGTGAATAGGATTAGCTTAACTATTTGCTTGGAGTTTCTCATTTGCAGAAAAAAAAAGGTTGAAGGGATCGCTGCCCCCCCCCAGTGGATGGAAAAACAGACAGAAGTTGGAAGATCTTCACCGTTACACCATAGAGCAAAGAAATTTAGTGCTTTAATAAAAATGATATGTATCCTGATGGGAATTGTACTTTTATTTTAAAGTTTAATTGCTTGTATTATTTCTAAGTTTACTCTCTGTGAAACATATGGTTTTGCAAATGCTTTTTACCAGTTCTGGCTTCCTGAGTTTTCCAATTTCATCCTTGCAAAATGTGTTATGTCTTTACTTGTTGCTTAGAGTTTAAATTCCCCCATCTTATTGCTGTCAGAATTTAAAAAGGGGGGAGTGTGAGTAGGCCAAGATGAAACCTTATTTTAACAAGCAATATTATGCTTTTTTTAATGTTTCATTCTCATTCGTAGTTAATGCTTGGTGTATATTTTTTATGATAGATTTTTCTGTGATGAGTCTTAAGCACTGTATGGGTTATGTAGTCTGTAATCAAAATACCTTGTAACCTTTCCATGCCATAAGATTACATATTCTGTTATAATGCCCTTGTAGTTGAGACCAGGCCCTTATTGAATTATAATGTAACACAAGCAGAGTACTTTGAATAACACTATTTCCTGCATTGATTATGCTATTTTGTAATGTACTA